CACTGAAATTATTTCCCTAGACAAAATACAGTGCCCTCCTGATAGAAATGTTTAAGGCATAGGAAACTGATTAAGTATTGTCTTTGCTACTTTTGCAAATCTGGAAAAAATATAAACAAACTGCAAAACTGATCACTATATTAATGTTTGGCACGAGAATCCGTGGCATAGCAAATGCAAGGAGAATCTAGAAACAGGTATCATCAGGGAGACAAGGCTTCTGTAGCCTTCTATCTGAACCAGAAAAACTGCAAGGGACATGATTCCTCATTCTGCGACATTGCTGTGAGCTGGTTCCTCTATTTCCTCAAATTCAGGGTCCTAGAATGCGCCAACTCTCCCTCCAGCTAGTTTCCGCGGATTCAGTATTTATGGACCTAACAGCACAACAGAGACACCGTTCTCTTCCTTATCCCTTAGAATGCCTGAAGAAAACCATCTTGATCTTTGTAACTACTATGTATTTCAGTGCAGTTCTTACAAGGCGTAGCACATATTTAAGAATGTAACACATATAGTGCAAGTTTGTACCGGTAACCACATAACCACACATCTGTTCAGAATAAAGTCTTCAGATTGCAAGGCCACAGTATGCTGAGGTGATCTGAGCAGATAACCGTTCTTTAGTGCTCCATTTGCACAGTCGTAACCATGTCATAGAATACAGCTTCTCAGATATTTTATCACATAGGCCAACTGGTAAATATACAAAATGTATCTCTAATCTTTGACAGTAGACCGATATCAGCAACAGGCATTAAGACTTTTCTTAAAGTTGTGTTACTGAATGATTTTCTTTAAATTGCTTTGAAGATAATGCATGTTTATTAATCAGGTAACACAAGCAGTTGAATAGGGACCAAAAGTCCTGGTGGACTTCAGGTTTAGTATTTCTAGAATTTAGTTTAAGATGTTTTGGCTTATTTTAACCATGCCTTCTGACTATTTCATGAAAAATTAATCCACTGGATTGAACCTGTAATATATTTATCAATTATTGGCAGAATAATCCATTCCTAAGATACTCTGTTTGAAAAGTTTCTGCAAACAACTTCTGAAAACAACTACCCAACAAATTCGCCCTTTCTGCTAGTGGTACCATTATTCAAGAGTATCAAAGAAAAAATTGAGAGACCACACAAACATACCTATCTTATTAAATTTTACTGTTTGGGTACTACTGCCCTCAGATCACTTATTTTCAATTGCAGTTATGTCTCAGGAACACTCATCTTTAATTATGAGCTTGATCAGTTACATTGACTGGTGCTGCATAAACCTGGAACAAAGAGCAACGTTGCTCACTTCTCTTATCTGCCTTTTCTCAGCTAATTGGTTGCTAATCTTGTACAAACAATGAAACAATTTGCACGTTTTCATATTTATTCCTGTAAAATTCATTTCAGCAGTGGATGGATGAGTGTACTTTTTTCATCTAGATGAGTACGGTAAATGTATTTTAGTAGTGACCTTGTTTGTTGCAGCATCTAATAATCTACATTTTGCAGATGTAGGCCTCAGTACTGCAAATAGATATGCATGAAAGTTCTGTATAGTCCCACTGAACTGAGGCAGTGGCATCAGAATTTTAAAGTTATCCACGTAATTCCAATACTGTAATCTTTTATGACTGGCAGTTCTGGGATCCTAAATATAAAAAATAAAACTCTGCCCTTGAAGCTTCAAAATCTTCAATACCAAAACTCCCTACACTTCTGTTACTTGCTGTGAACTGAACCCCCCGCCCTCTGCTGATGGCACTAAGCTCTTCGGTGCCTCATCCATATCAGGATCATAAGTCTCCTCTTTGTTGCTGAGACTGAACTTCACAATAATTTCAAAATCTGTCATGAGGTCTTCGCATGCTGCTGGGAGCCCAGCCACTTCAGTAAGGGACACTGATTACAGAAATAAGCAGAGCTCCCAAAACTAGGGTGCTGGAGGGCTGATTTTTAGACTCTTGGCATATAGAACACCATACACCTAAACTGTAATACTATATATGCTACAGTATGGTAACCACTGACTCTTTTAAAGGGCCATTTCTGTAGAAACACCTTTATCCCCATGTGCACACAATACCATGAGGATTCTGAGTGTTAAGCCCTGTGTTATTCAGCAGGTCTTCTTCATTAAATTAAGTAAAACCAAAAATATTTTCCTCTTTTGAGGGGATATTAAGGAAGCTCAGTTAGATCTATTAGTATTACTGTTCCACATGAAAAAATTCTAGGGCAGTACAATGTAGGGTATAGGACATTTGTGCATAGAATGTCCTGGGATGGGCCTAGGAAATGAGCTGCAGTTTGTTCTTGTAAATTCTCTGGTTCTGCTGTATTTCCATAAGTGAGTAGATACTTTGCACTGTAGTTTTTCTCCCTTTTCTCCATGCCAAGAAGAAAGAACAATGTGGTAGTTGGAAAAAAGAAAGAGATCATCAGTTCATTTGGAACTGTACCAAATAAAGAAATATTTTCAGACGGAAAATCAAGAATACCTGTTCTTGTTAACACTACCCATGAAAGAAAATTTAGAGACAAATTTGTGTTATCAAACAGTTTTATGTATTCTCCCTTCCCCACTTTCAGGACTATTACAAGATTTCAGGACACATTTGATAGGGCCATGTGTTTCCCATTTACTAAAGGGCCACAGGTTTAATAAAGATTTAATTCAAGATTAATTAATTTAACATATCTAGTGGAAATATGATATATATCATACTGTTTGAAATTTATTTCATGTAACATAAGCTCACATCTCCATTAAGCTCCTCTATATTTTGAGATACATTTACTTTATCATCTTGGCTTACAAAACTGAAGTTACAGTATTGAATGCTACAGCTGTATATGTGTATTTAAAAGGTAAACATGATAAAAATTAATTAGTACATCAGCATTTTGCATACACTGCTCTTATCTTTAATAGACTACACTTTAGAAGATTTAGTGAGCAGGGTAGATGATCAAAATTAAAAGCATGCATTAGAGATGAATGAATCTGATTTAGTGAAATATATTTTGACACAGCTGTTGTTTCTTGTCAGTTCAATGAGTTTTACTCAGGGGATATCACTTCTGGCCATAACTTGCATGCTTCAAATGATAATCTGCTTTACACACAACTGCTTTTTGTCTGAATTCATGCAAAGTTTGGTAAGAGCTATAATTCTGGTTTTTCATAGTTTATGGCATTTAATAGTGAATTGTAAGGCTGTGTTTACAGAACGTCATGCATTCAAAAAGACAGAAACGTGTTTCCTTGCACATTTAATATAAACTTGTAATGAGCAATGTCTGGTCTTTATTAAATACTTCTTTAAAAGGATACAGTCTCATTTTTAGCATATTCAATCCAGCCCAAACAGAATACCAAATTAAACCAGCAGTTAGCCTGAGTGCCTATGAATATCTCGTATAAAGATAGTCCCCAAAAGAAACATCAAGAATCTAGAAGCAAGGAGAGGTGTTGAAAACTGTTAAATTTATAAACACCCATTCTTAGCTTATAGGTACATTCAAAATAGGTAGATCAGAAAGGATGAAGTGTGTCTCAGATTTGAGGTCAGTGTAGCAGGGCATTATGACTGAATAACATTTAAAGATGTATTCACAGAGTAATGCAGTCACTGAATATAACAGGGGAAAGATTTATGCCCACACACAAAAGAGATTATTTGCTTCACTGGAACCCAAAGTTTCAGTATTTACAGGTAGAGAGTTCCGCTTAGAAAGTTATGAACAATATGTTATGAAAAGTAATTTTTTACTGAAAGGTTAAAAGATATTTCCAGTTATCATTAGGTTATCCTCAACAGCTCACCAAGATTGGACTAAAGGAGAAAGGAAATATTGCAAAAAAGCAAAATAGAATGAATGAAAGGTATATAATTTAGATGTAAAAATTACTCCCTTTTCCTTCTGGTTCAAGCTATTATGTGTGGCTCAAGTGTACCCTTGTTGTTCAAATTATTACAACAACAAAAGTTATCTACTTTTAGAATCCTATGTCAAAATCTCACTTTGTCCAAATCAATTAGATTCTGAGACAGTCTTAATGAAACCTGAATGAGGATAGGAAGCCTTTTTTTTTTTACCTTCAGTTATCACAACCAGATAAATTTTGTTGAGAAGAAATTTAGAACTAAATGCCAAGGAGATACTGGAAAGTTAATATATCACGTATTCAGAGGAAGTACAGCCATTTTCCGCAATGATATCCCGTGCAAGTGTTCAGCAAAGAGAGGGAAATAGAAAGAAAAAGTACTTGTCCTTTACAAAGTCTGGCCCTTGATTAGTGTTTCTGCCATGGCTTTTGCTGTTTTATTTCGTCTTATACACACATGCATGAGCTACAGAGAAGTGCCTCTTATCTTTATCCTTCATAACCTGAACATTAAAACTGAATGTCTTTTAATATCATATGTCACAGTCAGCTAGTATGAGAAGATTGCAATTGATTACTTTCCCTTGTTTTATACCAGTTTCAGGGAAAAGTATTTTTTCTGGTCAACTAACTTCACTCCTGTAGAAATTTTCATTCATTGTTCTCGTCGAAGAATTTTTGCCTAACAATTCAAATTGACACAGATCCATAAACACAGCTTTGACAATACACCATTTCACCTCAAAGAAAAGAAGAAAGAGATCTGAGGGTGAAGGGCCCATATTATCCTTCACAAGTTGGGCAGGATAAGATCTTCCCAAGCATCCAAGAGAACTGGATGTTTAGCTCCTTCTGATGCTTTTTGTTAATTCCATTAATAGACAACCTGACTATTAAGATGTCATAAAGGAGGCATAAGACTGATGGTTTTTTCAAGTTCAGTATGATATAGAATGGCAGTGAACTATTTTCAGTTAACAGGTACAAACAGAAGGCCTGTATTGTCTCCTTTTTATGACATTTACTGAAGTCATTATTGTTTGGTAAATCCCTGCTTTCCAAAGTTTGCAGCCGCCTGAGTTTATTTGCAATTTTTTGTGATTTTTTTTTAGTTGGATACACAATGAATGATCTCATTTTTGAATGGCAAGAAAAGGGAGCAGTTCAAGTAGCAGAAGGTCTCACTCTGCCACAATTTCTGTTGAAAGAGGAAAAGGATTTATGTTACTGCACCAAGCATTACAATACAGGTAGGAAAGCATATTAGTGATTAAAACTGGAAAGACATTTAACATTTATTGTTATTTTGGAGAGTTGTGTGGGTTTTTTTTAATTCTCACTGAACTCACAGGAAGATTAAAATGTACATGTGCATTGTGCAGGGTAATGCAGTCTGAAGTGATTGACACAATGAAGCAAAACTACCTGAAGTCTGATCAAACTTCTATTTCAGCAAACTTCAGGAAATACATCGTTGAAAAGATTCAGAAGCATTTCAGTCAGGAGTTTTATTTTAACAGTGGGTGCTACGGCCATATCTACGCTGTGGGATCTGAAGCACTGCTAAAATCCAAAGGTCCGCATGGCTTGCCTCAGTCAGGAAAGAGGGACACGGGGTTGCCAAGCCAGCTGTCCCTGCCCTAGTTCATACAGCAAGGGGCAATGCAAACAAGCTGAAAGCATCCCTAACGTACGATGGTCAGGTGTCCAAACTAGACCTGGCCTTTCAGAGTGGAAGTCTTTGTAGAACCACAATGTTCATCTCATCATCTCTGGGATTATTTGAATTATCTGGGGGAGTTAACATTACTAACATAGTTATTTTATTTTTAACTGTACAAAATTATCTCAATAACTGGACAATCAGAAGCATAATAATCCTCAAAAAAAACATGCAGCAAAGGCTAAGAATGCATAGCTTCCGTCTTCTCATGGGGAAAAAAAACATGGAACTCTTTCATTCTAGCCTGTATCTCTTAATTTCTGCTCTCAAATATGATTCTTAATAGATTAAACATATCTTGAAATTTAAGTTTAAAACTGATTTATTTGTATTCTGCTGAAATAGCAGAAGGGATAAAATTCAGTAGGTGATGTTCATAAGGAATGTCCTGTTGCAATCAAAATTAAGAAAGAATGCCTTTCATCATTGAGTTTTATCACAGCTGCCACGGTGCCCTAAGGGAGGGAAAGGTTCTCTAATAATTTCCAAGTAAAGTGGGGAGAGACTGATAGAGACATTTTGAAGTGTTTCCTAAAACAAATTGGAAATACATAACATGCACTTTTACTGTACAAATACTAATATCTAGCTAATCCTTAAAATCCTTCCAGAAATGGAGATATGTATCTTATGGCAAGATATTTTTCTTACTCAAACATCCCTTTGTTAATGATAATAATGAAATTAATATTATACCTTTTTTCTTTTTACCACAATCTCTATGACAAACAAGAAAGTTATATTTTTATTATTTTTTCTCTCTGTCTTCTTTGAGACAAATAGACAATCTCTTCTTCCTTTTTAGGAGTCTTCTGCTTTTGTGCCATTTTAACATGTGCCTGTAACTGTACTTCTATAACCTGCATAGTAATATTAAAGAAATGAGAATCTGTGGTAGAAAGTATTCTCCTCATTTTTCCAAAGTTCATTTGGACAATATCATGCATCAAAAATCTCTAACTGAGGAACTGAAACAGTACCCTGGTACTTCATCTGATATTGAATGGGAACCTGTTTTAAAATGTCAGAATTTCCAGTGATTTCCAAATGTCCCTCCAAACTTCTCATCCAAAGCTGAATCATACTCTTACTTGTTTGTCTGAGAAATTTCATTACAATCATCCTAGTTTACACCTCCTTTTAATTTTGACTGAAACTTCATTTTTTCAAAATTTTTGAGCCACTACCTTTTTCTTCATAACCTTTGTTTCAAGCCTATTTAACTTGGTATTAATTTTCTTCTAAGCAGAAATAGGAAAACATGCTAGGCTTAGGCATAACACAGTAGCTTGCTTACACCGACGGTCTTTTTCACTGTGGCCCTGAACTGAGCTGAGAAGCAGGAGGAACAGATGTTGTCAACTGCATGTGAAGTCTCACGAGTCTCAAAATGTGCCTACAAGACAAGTGCACTTATCCTTGTGAAATGCTGTAACATTTAGGTGAGAGAAGTGGTTTGCTGTCACAGCTCTACAGGACAGAGTGGCCAATCATCAGTCTGTTACATTCTGTAGTGCTTTGGCCAGACTTCATTTCCATAGCCAAATGGGTGCTCTAAAATGTGAGCATGGACCACAAACCTGAAAAGATGTCTGAAGTTTATGCCTCTACTTGAAAAAAATAATTGGGCCATTTAATTTGTCAATAAAAAGTCAAGCCATTTACTAATACGGAAAACCTGGAAGCCTGGATGCAGGACTCTCCTTACACGTCAGGAGTTTAAAAGGCCTCAGCAAACAAGGAGACAATTTCACAGCTGTAGGGCCTGCCTATGATGGGCAGGGGGAAAAAAACTGCAGTGCTGAGTGGCACTAGCTGCAGGCAGAAGGTGTGTCCTCACCAGAGGAAGCAGCAGAGCAGCCTGCTCTGAGATACAGCACCAAAATCACAGGTACAAATCTGGAAGAACTTCGGCAGGGCAAAGCAGAAAGAAAAGATGTTCTTACTCATGCAGAAGTACATTTGTTGTGACATTTTCCTCTTCAAGATAACGGTACTTTCTCAAAGTATTTATTTTTTTATTCATCTTCAATATTAATTTAATTAAATTAATTTAAAAGTTAATTTAATTAAATTAGAGGGGTTTGGTTTGATTTCTAGGAGAGTGGGAGTGCCTTTCATATCTTTGTTACAGCCAGTACTATTAACTACTATGTGTAGGCTAAAACCTCTGAACACTATATTAAAAAACCACAACACCTAGAAGTTTCTTTTCCTCCATTACGTCACTTGGATATGTAACCCATAACGTGCCTTCTTAAGGCTCCCGCAATGAGATACCGTAGATAGATACCCCTCTAAGATACTCCACAAGAAATAAAAAAAAAATCATTTTTCAAAACTAGAAATAACGTGTATTTCTCTGGCCTAAGACAAATTAGATACAATGAATTCTTGAAAGAGTGCTAAGCAACTGCAGCTGGTATGCAAGAACTGACCAGAGCCGAGTTTTCAATTTAAATTTAGTTACAACACAGGATGGAAAGCTCTTCTGAGACATCCCATAAAACAGAAAAAAACCTCAAAAGTCTTGCTGTAAAACAAATTAATATGAAGCTTCAGGTCAGTATGTGGAAACTCATCAGAGAATGTCTCATCAGTGTTTCATGCCCAACTGAAAATGGATCAGTGTAACCACAGCTTGAAAAACAAACTGCTTCTAAATATAGGGACATAACAATTTCATCAACAGTGCAACATAATGGCTCATCAAGACTTGTGTTCTGAAGTGATGCAACAACATTTCTGATCATTTTTGTGCTTTTGCATCTACTGGCATATCCGCTGTGACAAGTTTAGGAAGTGAAGCAACATAACAGCCAGAAAAATCACATGTGAACATTTGCATTAAAGGGAAGGTCTTGCTTTACTGCCTCATTCACTTCATGTGTCCCATGCGTTGCTTCCCTGAGCTTTTATGCAACACCCAATTTTAATCTCAATCACAAGTAATTTCAATCACGGCTGCAATAAACCCAATATACGATAGCAAGAATTTATACGTAATAGCATTGGCTAACAGGCACAAACCGAAATACTCTGAATCTTGGTTTTAATCCTGCACCATGGATAACTTCCTACACCTGCACTGGAATGGTGCTGCCCAGAACTGCTTTACGTATATTGATGAGTTTTGGCTCCGAGTATTGGATGTAGTAGTCCTGGAAACAGTGGAGCTATGGTTGCTACACTCACCACCAGAACTGATGGGTTCTGTATGCAACCATTTCTGATAACTCTGTATCCTGTAATCTGCGATCTTGATGAGCAGCATTCCCCATTCGACCTCCTAACACATATATCTCAAACACAATATTTTTTCATGATCCCTTTGGTTCACCCTTAACTTCAAACAAGTTGCTTAATAACCTGTAGATCATGCCCCTTTTAGGTCCTACCTTCAGCTGACTTCACACCTTATATTGGGCCATTTTGCTGCCAACATGATGGTGGTTAAAGGAGATATATCTTTGATGCCTGACTCTGCCAACAAGAACTCAAACCCCTACTTGTTTTGACAAACACCTAAAAAAATCTTTTTGAGACTACAGCAGAGATTTTTTAAGCCATGGCTTTTTAACCCCTCTGTTTCATTTTCATAGACTACGTCTCTGAAAAAGAAGTTTGTACTTTCTATCCAGGAGGTATTCTATGGGTATGCAATCTGTGAAGCTGTTTGTTCCTTCAATGAAAAAGGAAAAATCATAAACACTATGAGAAACACAGTCTACAGCAGGCTGAGGACATGACCATCCCTAGACACAGGGACTCCAACAGGCCACTTTTCTCTGCAGGAGAAGAGGCCTCAGTTGTCATCCTTCCACTTATCAAAATTTAAACATTCTACCTTAAAGATTAATTGAATAAAAATTAATCAGTTGTCCTAGAATTATAGGTATTACTTCTAGATGTCCTTGCTATTTTTGTTGCTATCAGATTCTCCTTAGTTTCTACTTGTCCGCTCTCTGCCCTGCCTAACACAGTGCAGAACATGACTGGTCTTTCCCATCACAAGACTTCTGTTCAACTCATTATCTGTTCTGGTGGCTTCTGTTCAACTCAATATCTGCCAGGCTCCTAGGTCTTTAATGCAGTACTGCTACCTACCCAGTCCATCCCCAGCCTGTACCAGTGCATGGGGTTACCCCATCCTTGTCGCAGAACTGCGCATTTGTCATTGCTGACTACTGTGATATTGCGGTGGGTCTGTTCCTCCAGACTATGAAGGTCCCTCTGAATGGTTCTCCATTCTGAGAAATGTGTGAATTTCAAGTGAAAGTTCATCAAGCGGAAAAAAAATAGTTGCTCTTTTCCATATTAATTTTCAGCTTTCTTTTACTGTGGTCATTATCAGTCTTTCACAAATGTTAACACCTGTCCCAGTATTTGTTCCCAAAGTCACTTCTTTCCCGGCTAAGAACTTCTGTAGTCAACGGCAGGAGACAGCACCAGCACTGATGTCCATCAATACGCCTCTGACACTCGCAGGCTGTAACTTGGAAGAAAACCTGAATGGTAGTACATTCC